CTTAGATGTGCTGTGTTGAGGATGGATAACGACTCGAAATGAGAAACTGGACAGCCGGGTTTTAATTCCAGTCGAGTTCCATGTATTCACAGACGCACTATTAAACTTGGGAAAGGTATGAATCCATCTCTTTAAGACCTGGGTTTGGCCTGAATATCATGACAGACATGGTTCTATAGTTTTGCTTGACAACCACTCTATCGCAGAAAGTAATGACAGCCGACTGCTGGAATACTTCATACAAGTAAATCATGAATCGAAAACAAACATCATAGCCCAAATGTGCACCACACATGTCTCATAGTGTTGTAGAGTAGTTTCACAGTGGAGGCTTGTATTTCACTAAATCGGTTCTAAAATAGGTTCGACGTACAAAAACGTTAGGAACTTAATATAATAGGTAATGACGCAGAGAAATCTAGTCGTGGTGGCTGATACTTTAATATTCGACTAACGGTCGTCCGACATCGACTGACTGACCAACTCCCCGAGCGACGGTATTTAGTCACCCCCCACGAGGGCATCATGTGGCACAAGGCCGGTTTAACTTGGGATCTCCTTGCCCGTGGGCCCGGCCAAAAATATGCCCATTGAACCAGTATAAACGGATTCAGAGTCGGTTTGCCTCCCCGAACGAGACTCCGCCCTTCGGCGTAGCTTCGTTCGGATTCCTCCCCGCCCGTTCAACTGATCAGCCGGTCGTCCGACTTCAGACTGAACTCAGACCGAGTCACTGAGCGACTACCACGTTACTCTTACTACTCCTACTTATTATAGGTGGGAGAGATTTCGATTTCAAGGTCTTAACTATAGAATAGGTGTGTTCCATATGAAGAAAGGAAGAATAAACTTTGACAAAGATTATTATTATTATTAATATTATTATTATTATTAATTGATTTCTGCTGCATACACATCTCCTTCCGGGTCTCAACCAGATATCTAAGGTTAGAAATGGCATCATGACATTTTCAACTGATCAAAAAAACAAAAAAAAAACAGATCACACATATTTTACATACATAAAGCTTTTCGTAATGTGTGAGCTGTGATTTTGAGTACAATTCTTTTGTATTTCTTTAAGGCATGGGCGGCCATGAATCCCTTCAATAAGGTCTATCCAAATCTTTTCCAATGAATCCGAGGGCTCCAAATACATCTCGTATTATTGATGTCCACAAGTGAGATATTTTTGAGATTTCCACTTCATGATCCTTTTATTTTGATACATTTTTAAAGATTTTTAAAGATACATTATAATCTGAAATGATTGCCATATCAATAAGGAAGCACATTATTTCTTTGATCACGATATCTGGGAGATTAGCTTTGATTGTACTCTCTGTATGTATTGTTAAGTTCCATAAAATTGTTGCAGGTCCTATCTTTGTAACCGGGTCTGGGTGATGTTCATAAAGGTTTCTTTTAGTTTCCTACTCGTAAAAGTTATATATATATTCCAATGCAGATATTGGCCTACTATATCAGTTTTATATTTAGTGGGTGCAAACACTGTTCCACCTGATAGAAAATGGTCAATTGTTTCTGGATATTTAGCACAAAACCTACATTTGGGTTCAACACAATTTCTCAGTATTTACGCTTTGTGATTTCTATATAAGACGAATTGTCCCTGTGCAGCAAGAATAAAACCTTCGATTTCAGCTTTTAATATTGCACTACGTAACCACTGATGGGCTTATCTTTGCATTGTTTTTGCATTTGATACTTTGCTTTTGCAGGTTTTGGGCCGCTGCAGTAAGTTTATTATGGTCTATTTGCATATCTTCAGCCACTTGAAATTGCCGTTTAATTTTGTTGGATTCTTTTAATACTGAATAAAGTTTCTTTGTCGACTGTAGTTTCCAGATATCTTTGAAGAACGATTGTTGTGGTTTTGTAAGAGAGTTCTAGTAGAATTAATCCTCTCCCTCCTTCGGATCTGGGCACATACAGACGATCAGCATCAGCCTTAGGATTATGCATGCGGTGGTAAGTGAGAAAACATCCTGTTTTGACATCCGTTTGCTTAATATCAGCTATGGTCAAATTAAGCAATTTGAAACTGTATTCCACCACAGAGACAGCCAAAGTGTTTATGGCTGGTATTCTGTTTTATGAATTCAAGTTGGTATTTAACACCAGACGCACACGTATGTAGTGTTCTTTTCTTACGTTCTCCTTCATTTGGGTGTGCTGCATTCATTTGGTGCCATACTTCTCTGTTATCTGAACTTGATTTACTTGATGTTGACTTTTCCAATTACTAGTTTCCATTCTACATTTTTTATTTACTAATCAGAATGTAAATAATGTAAATATTGGCATATATATATATTTAGAATTTTCTTTGTTTTTTTTAAACAAATATGTCGACTCGTTTTCATTTTTACAATGTCTACTAATCATTTTACAAACAATTAAAACCGGTCGTCTTATTTTATTCTGAATGTCTTCTTTAAAATCTAGTTCCGTAAATAGTTTGCTTTTTGGACACATTCCATTTTTTATTCTCGACACTTATGATCATTTTCGGTAAGCTGCAATTGTACATTATCTTTTCTCTTTCTTTGTACTGTTTGTCTTTATACTTGACTGGGAGCATTGTCTTTCTAAGAGTCAGTTTTTCTTGTAAAATGTCGGAAACCAAATTTTGTCCTTACGCCTATTCTGAACCAATTGAGAAACATTCTGAAACAATATAAAAGAAATAGTCTCTTTGCTTTCTTATTCCCTTTCCATCCGATAGCACGGCCGGTTTTGAGGAGAGTAAATTTCTGTTTTTTCCTAGGTCCGCGGGATAGTCGCACCTGTTGCTGCCCCAGCTATTGGCAAAATAATTAATCCCCAAACTCGGGACAAAACAGTATCAAAATATAAATAAAAATTATAGAATAATAATGGAAATATATTTTCAGAGTAAAAAAATATATATTTCTAAAAGAAAAAAATATTACCAACAATAGAATTTTTGTCAACGAAATTACTAATGCTCAAAAGAAAATTAAATTTCGACATTAAACAAACATACTCAAACATACTTTAATCTTTATTTTATCTGGTTTTGAATTGTCCAGTTATTCTTGGAGTGTAACCAAGAGTAAGTGTTATAGATCGGTACCTTTGATGTATAACTGTTTTTTTTTGTTTTGTTATGTTTTTTACTATGTATAAAATAATGACATAATTAAGGTGCTATCCTTCCACACTACTTGAAGCAAAAGGTTAGGAAGGAAACTCCTATAAATACTGAATATATCGATAGACGCTAATGGACTCGAAAAAGCTATTTTCAGAAATATGGCTTCAAGGAAAAGATTTTATAAATGTCAACCGAACTGTCCGATCAATAAATGCCGAATGCTTCCTTACAAGTATTACTTATATTACTATTACCATTTAGATTTATTATTTAAAAAAAAATGGGTGTCTTTACTTGGCGTAATGATTATCTAATCTATAAATTTGAAAAAAAAGGATATGTAGATGTATGGCACTTCAGGACATGCGCATGGTGTAATGGATAGCGGCTCATTATGAAACATCGCAGAGCCAAGTTCGAATACCAGTCGAAATCGTTATATTCATTTACGCGCAAATATACCTAAGAAATGGATAAATCCATTTCTTCGTCTCCCCCTAGCTATTGGCAAACAGTTGGAAACCAGTCTAGGAGAAAACACGAAATTCGAATTCAAAAACGGGGTAAAGTTATTTGGAAAACGTGTGTAACAATGTTCACCAGTACTCTATATTCGGTTATTTCGAAAATTATGCTTATTTTGCACAATCCTTCACGGCTATAATCAAATCGTATCTGCGGTAATCTGGCTATTGGGTTCTATGAGCTGAGCTACTGTGCCCTCATACGCCGAAACCGGCGGGAGACTCCATTTTTATCTCTCTGTGTCGCTGTAGGTTTAACTGTCTTCCTTCCTCCTTCTCTCTCTCTCTCTCTCTCTCTTTCTCTTACACACACACACACACACACACACATAGACTCTCTCGCTCTTTTTCTCTCTCGCTCTTCGAATTTAATCGCAGTACTTGACCGGCGATGAGGTCTCACCAATTTATAGGTGGGCTGGTTAGATGTAACCATAAATTCTATGCCAAGTATGGGCAACATTTTCCGACTAGTGGGCCGCAAGAGATATTGCTCATCATAAAACGAATCGCACTTATAATAAAAATTCAATGTAATTTTCCGTTAATAGTAAAGCGAAAATTTTCCTTAAAGAAGATAATACGCGTACCACTCTACGTTAGAAAAGGGGGAAAAGATTATATGTTTTACTTGGAGAAAATATTTTTCCACAATTTAAAAACTGAAGATTTCGTATAATATTGTCACTAGGTATTTACTCTGTCTCCCCACTAAGAAGAGTTGTGAGAGTACCGATTCCTCTCTCCGGTGCAATGAGAGGGTGCGGCATCGTGTAGCTGTTCCCCAGGGCTGGGCATCTTCCAGTATAAGTTTTGTCAGTTGTGATTCTATCCTTTGACGGGGTGGCCCCAGAGTGCACTCTGCCCAAGGACAGAGACGCAACTGAGAGATGATAAATAGATGTGTTACGAACCAATCCAAAGAGGGGTTTATACACTAATGATTTTCTAAGCGTAACTTCGATGTGGTACACGGCCGATAGTGTGGAGAACCCAGTGGAGATCGAACTCACTTTTCAGTCGTAACAGATCTAGCGAAGCAAGCTTGCTAACTGTCGAAGTGCCCAAGTATTATCACTAAGAGCACTGGGATTAACACATGCTCTTGTATGTAATTTATTTATTTTAAAATACTTTTTAAAATATCTTTTTAAAATAAAAAAAAATTATTTATTATCCAGAGAAAAAAAAGTAATTTTCTAAAGCTAAATAGCAGGTCGAAAATTCGTAATGCTGCTCCGGGACGTCGTACATGAGCATATGAGAGAAAGAAATGTTTAAATGCATTGCAATATGTTGTAACTGATTTGAAATGTAATTAGGAATTTTCGATC